ATTGTTTTTAGGGAGTTGTTTTGTAGATATTCTACAATTCTCTCGGGTTTGCATGTATAGTGCAGATTTTTGACCATGACTCTAATAGGTCTTTCCTGCTTGTTTTCGTATGAGTGCCATTGATGGCATAACTGATATGAAGAAGTTCTGCAAAGCGGCCGGCATTAGTTTCGACTATAAGAAACTCGTTGAAGGTACGTATATATAATACAAGATAAATATGATAATGACGTATAATGGCTAAAAGACTTGGACCTGTCCAGAACTAATTAACGAGTTAGATAGAGGCCCTCTAAACCTACACCTGGGTCGCAAGTCCCAGGCACTGTTGAAGCTCCTCTCCCTGGAATACATTGAACTATTAATTAATTTTATGTTAATATCACAGGATGCACAAAGAACAAGGAGCGTGTGGCTAAGATGATGGATCTACTGACAGCTGCGGGTCTAGAAGGGAAGGCGACGTTGGAGAAATGTAAAGCGTTGAAATTTAAAGCCAAGCTAGACAAGAGAAAACAAGAGATCCTGGCTAAGAAAGAGGCACGCTCCAAACATAAATAAGAAGACGGTAATAATATATATATATATATATATATATATATATATATATATATATATATATATATATATATATATATATATATATATATATATATATATATATATATATATTTATATTAATAATATGTAATTTGACACGGCGATTTTAATTAATAGTTACAAAATAATGATCTGAAAACATCAGTACAATGAAATTAACTACTCACAGAGTCATATACGTAAAATAGACTCAAAAATAATTAGTAAAACAATATGTGTAGATAAAATACTAGAGCGATTTTTCTATCGCACACTGATTCTATATTTTTTTCGAGATGTTCTTTACTATATATAATAATAATAAAGCCCTGATTACTCCAAGACATAGGTTACAGTTAAAAAAATACATTAAGCTAACAAACAAACACTAAAGTTAAATATGTCATGGCCCCTTTCGCGTATAGGCGTCCACCAGTTGCCTTTTTATATTGTTACCATTTCTTCTGACTTAACTGCCAGTTCAATAATGTCATATTTAATGTTATCTAAAGAGTATTGTAGCAGTAGCGTTCTTTGCTATGGTGATAGGTATTTTACATTGTATGTATTAATGTAAAGGTTTTGTTTGTTGGCTTGTTAAAGTGTTATAGTTTAGAGCCGCCACGGTAACTTTAATTGCGATTTCGAGAGGATTATATTCACTTTATATAAATATATTACTAGCTGCGCCCCGCGGATTTCCGGGATGTACAGTAGCCTATGTGTTATTCAAAATTCTGTTCAGCCGTTTGAGCGTGAAGAAGTAACAAACATACATACACACTCACAAACTTTCGCAATTGTAATATTAGTAGGATAATTGTATGTTATCGTTCCAGAGGTGGAGAGTGAGTCTTCAGCTCGCCGCATGACGCGAGGCGCGACGGGCGTCAAGCCTAGGCAGCGTATAGTGATATTTTCAGACGAGGAGGACGGCACCCCGGCCGCGTCTGTTCAGTGTAACAGTCAAACGGTACTTATTTCCCGGTTTGATTCCCATTTGTTAAAATATATTTATAAAGTTTACAGTATATATCTGACTTGAACTATATTTGATACTATCAAAGTATAAAATTAATGATATTATGTTGATATAGTCATGTAAATAATTAACTATATATATGTATACATATAAAGTGATTAGGGCGCGGGTTCAAACCTGGCAAGTACCAATGTGATTTTTCGGAGTCACATGTACTTTCTGAGAGTATTTAGACATCACTGACATATGGTGAGGGAAAACATCGTGGGGAAACCTGGACTTATAGTTTCACAATTATAATTTTGAAATCGCCAACCCGTCTTGAGCAAGCGTGGTGATTAATGCTCAAACCTTCTCCATGTGAGAAAGAGGCCTTTGCTCAGAAGTGGGCGCTGATAGGCTGATGACGATGTATATATGATGTTATATATATAGATAACATTATTGTAAAACATTATTAACAAATTACAGTGATTGTATCAGATAGCTCATGAATAGTGTTTATTCCCAGGATATGCCATCAAAGCGTGGTCCAGGACTGCCGAAAGGCTCCAAGAACGCGTCACCCCGCACTCTCCGGAGCGGGAGTGGTCGCCGGGGCAGGCCGCCGGTCCCGCCGGAACTACGCCAGCCTGGCATAACTGATATGAAGAAGTTCTGCAAAGCGGCCGGCATTAGTTTCGACTTTAAGAAACTCGTTTAATAGGCCTCATTTGTGAATAGGCGTCTTCTTGGCGAATTTGAAATTCCCTATTCAGTATATAAGACTCAAGAATGTCAGCAAATGGTCGCGGTAGCATTAATTTGAGCTTGTTTATGAGTCCTTCATGCCAAACTTTATCAAAGGCTTGAGCTACATCAAGGAATATTGTACAGCAAACCTTTTTTTCCCCCAGTGCTTTTTCTATAAAGTTGGTTATTCTATGTACCTGATCAATTGTTGAATGCTTTTCTCTAAAACCAAATTGATGGTCAGGAATAAGGTTACTGTTTTCAATAACTGGTTTTAGTCTTTTTAACAATAGTTTCTTGAATACTTTGGTTATAACTGGTAGTAGAGAAATTGGTCTATATGAAGCTGGTTCATGTGGTGGTTTTCCAGGTTTTGGTATCATAATTATTTCAGCTACCTTCCATAAGTCGGGTATATACTTTAATCGAAAAGAAGCATTTATTAAAGTTGTCAGTTTAATAATCGCTTTACGATTAAAATTTTTCAAAATTTCACCGGTTATAAGGTCGTGGCCAGGTGATTTTTTTGAATTGATATGGTTCTTAATCAAACTTCTTTTGGTGTGACGAGCTTTATTTCTAAACTAGCTTTTGCCGCGACTGCGTCCGCGTGGAATAGTGACTTCCGGCAGATTTTTGGTTCTTCCCACATAATTCCCGTTCTTGCGGGATTTTCGGATTGGTCGAGTTCCCGTAGAATTTTCAAGATAAAACCTATGTTTTTCTTTAATTCACAAGGAAGTACTCTTAACCAACAACATATTTATTTGTTTATTTGAATAAAGATTAATATTATTATGTTGATACAACTTAAACAAATTATTTCGACCAAGTTAGGTACCATAAAAACGGTTTTTGTGAGTTAATCTTAAAAGATAGACATATACTGTCGCGGACTGTTTTTTAGATCATTAAAAGAGCTATTATTCTTTAATACATATCTTATAGTGCATCTTGAACCGTTTTCACGGCGCACGCAACGGAAGGCTTCAAAGATGAAATAATTTCTCCCGTTTTTTACACATTTACCACTATATCTTTGCTCCTATTGGTCGTAGCGTGATGTTATATAGCCCACAGCCTTGCTTGATAACTGGACTATCGAACACAAAAAGAATTATTCAATTCGAATCAGTAGTTTCGGAGATTAGCGCTTTCAAACAAACAAACAAACAAACAAACTCTTCAGCTTTATAATACAGCCACGGGCAAAAGTATTAGGCACCCTACAGTAGGACAAGTTTTAGAGTGTTTTAGCATAGCAAGTGTAAATAAAACTGCATTTATGATTACAATAGTTTATTTTAAGAAAATAATTAATATTTTGTAGGTCCACCTTTTGACTTAATAACCGCAGCCACTCTTTTTGGCATTGACTCTACCAGCCTGAAACATTCTTCTCTTGATATATTTTTCCATTCCTGCTGTAACGCGGCCAATAGAGCTTGTTTATTGCTAATCGAGTGCCTGCGGATATTTTTCTTTAAAATGGACCAAATATTCTCAATCGGGTTGAGGTCTGGTGATTGTGGTGGCCAGTCCAAAAGATCAATATGATTTTCAGCAAACCACTTCATGGTATGCGTGGACTTGTGGCAAGTGGCGTTGTCTTGCTGAAATTTCAGGCCATCGGTGTTTGTATCACCGAAAATTTGCGTTATCGACGTTGCTAGTGCTGTTTCCAGAACTTCAGTGTATTTAACACTATTCATTCGTCCCTCACACAACACCATTTCGCCCACTCCGTCGGCAGCCATGCAGCCCCAGATCATTATTGAGCCTCCACCATGCTTAACAGTGGGAACCACACATTCTGGGTTGTATTCTTCGCCAACCCTTCGCCTAACATGAGTCACACCGGGTGTTCCAAACACCTATGCCAAACGAAAAAAACCCATTTATTTTCAAAGTTATTATTTTTTTTGCAGTACGTTATTTTAAAAACATTTATGTGTTTTAATATTGTACATAAAATAAATAACAATACCTGAAAGTTAGATTCGTCTGACCACAGTATGTTGGACCAATCTTCTACTGACCAATCTCTATGTTTGAGTGCCCACTCCAACCGATTTTTCTTATTGTGTTCTGACAGCCACGGCTTCTTCCTTGCTTTACATCCTTTTAATCCAGCTTTAAGAAGTCTTCTTCTCACAGTATGAACACTCACTGAGCTTCCTTTTGCCTCAGATAATGCTGCAGCGAGCTCTAAAGCAGTTTTTTTCCCCTTTTTGTAGAGACTGCCTAATCAACAATCGATCTTCCCGTTCAGTAGTAACTTTTCTTCTGCCTGTTCTTGGTCTATTTTCATGGATGCCAGTCTCTTTGAAGCGATTTATAGCATATTGAACTGCACATCGCGAGCACTTCACTTCTCGGGCTATTTTAACCCGTATCTTCCCAAGTCCTCAAAACTCATCTGATTGAAGCGAAACTTTCAGAATCATTTGTTAGTAGCCTAATTATCGATAATATGCAACAAAAAAAAAAAAATTCGATTTCCGGTATTTCAGTTACAGTACCGATCCAAAAATGGAACAGTAGGAGAATATGCCACTGTATTTTATTGTTGGTATTGTGTGCTTTTTAGGAAGATTGCTGTAAATAATGAAAGATATTTATGAATAATCTTATTTATTTTTAGTATATAATTTTAGTATTTTTAGTATTTTATATAACATTTAGTATAACATTTAGTATTACAATTTTATTTCGTATGAAACGCAGGAGAACACTTTTGGTGTAGGGCGACGTTGCATTTGCCACATTTCATTGTCGTGTTTTTATGACATAAACCACAACGGTTTTGTTTATCACTTTTGATAATATGGTGTGCCTTTCCATCTAACCTAATATCAACTGGAACTCGTTTTATGACTGCTAGAGATGATCTTGGAATAGGCTTCTTTACTGAAGAAGAATTTTCAGGAAAAGTCTGAAGATATGTTGTTACAACATGTCTTGTAAATGACAAATAGTCATGCTGATTGTTTTGTGAAGCTGGCGATAATTTATATAACTGAAAAGCATTATTCATACATACATTTATAGGAAACATAAGTAGCTGCCAGTACCACCTCTTCAGGCGTATAGAAATACGATAGCATCCCACATTTTGATCCAAACGGTCGACACCGCCCATATATTTGTTATAGTTGACGATGCAGCGAGGTTGGTCGACGTCTTTCTTCTGCTTGTCACAGTAACGTTTTACCTTAGCTAAAGGCTCCACACCACATTCGGTTGAGGCAACGGTAACAATATTGTTGTCATTGTAACGTACGAGGGTGATGTTCGTCAGAGTATCTGTACACTGGTCAAAAGACCCTCTGCTCATTTTCTTCATATCTTTCGCTTCTTTCAAGGGTGCCTTTTCTACCCTATTTGCCCTAACCGTTCCCGTCGCATCGTGTCCTAATGTTTTTATTTCATCCAACAAGGGTAAAGATGTAAAATAGTTGTCCATATAAAAGCTGTAAGTACCGGGCGGCAATTTGGATATGAGGTCTAAAACAACAGAAGCACCTACACCAAGTTCTGGGTGGGTATTTCCTGTGCTTGCCCCTTGATAAAGCTCTCCATATATCAAATATCCAAGACGAGTACATATAGACCAATTCTTATAACCGAACCGAATGGGTTTACCATGAATATGTTGCTTCGTCCCATGTTTCCCGAAATATGGAATCATGGATTCATCAATGCTTAGATTCCTGTCACCGGGATAATATTTTACCCATCTCTTATTGAGTAGATTCCAGAGAGGACGAACCTTCGCGAACTTGTCCTGTGGAGCTAAGTTATTATTATCGGCGACGTGAAAGAATCGTAATAGTTCTTCAAATCTGTTCCTAGGCATAGCAGCTGCCACACCTTGAAAATTACAATCAACACTTTGCTCCCAGTACATACGATATCTAGCAACACTGTTGTAACCAGACAGCAAGAGAATCCCTATAAATCGTTTTATTTCCTCAGTTGTAACTTTGAAATTGTGGTAACCTTTTTGAATAGCATTTTTTTCGGTTTCAGAGCGAATCAATTCAAAAACGTCTTCGTCAAAAAAAAGTTCAAAAAAGTGAACAGGAGTATCTAGGTGTTCTAAGAAATGTGGTGGCTCTGATGTTTTCTCTGTCTTCACTGGAATATCTACTTTCTTCCACTTTCGGGTAGCTGGACATTTTTTTTTTTTCTTTGCCGGTGGTTGTACTGATAAGTCGCCGTGTGTATTATTATCTATAGAAACTTCATTTGATACGCTTTCTATAATATCTAAATTAGACTGTGAAGATACAGTAGCCCTAAACTCAGCCTGTGCTAAGAGCTGCTGCCTGGACAGGTGATTTATGTTCGAAGACTCCTCATCTCCACTGTCTTCATCACTTTTGTCGTAATTATCTGGGGGTGTTATGTAAATATCTGCTGACAATACGTCATCGTTGTCTTCAAGATGCGATATTATGTCATTTACCGACAATCTAAAACAAAATAAACGCAAAATTCAAAAATAACAATTATGTCACTACATAAAATGTTCCATATCCATATTATCCTACTGATCCATTATTGGATCGGTACGTATAAAAGTAAAAAATAAATGTAAATAAGCTAAATGTGCATTTCACTGTCTTGCAATATGATAACTCAACTCCTAGCCGATATAAATACGATACAATAATTATAAATTATCTAAAAAAAAAACAAGAAATACTTACATTCGGCGATGAGACATTTTTTCACAATTTCCAAAAAATTCAGTGCGTAACAAAACACAAATTTCGCGGCCCACCGAGGATCTGACAAGTGAATATGGCGGCAAGAACTGTCAGTGCTGCCACCATAGACAAAAAAAATGGCTGCGTTCACGAAATTTTAGTAAAAAAAATATTAAACTAACCGATCCAATAATGGATCACTGGGATGATACGGGTTAACCTGAGACATGCCTTGTTCATGTAAAATCTTAATTCTTAGACGCTGTTCAGCACTAAGTTCAGATTTTTTCGGCATGATTAACACGTTAAATGTTAGTCTTTAGAATTGTGATAGGAATAGTTGCGTAGAAGACGTGTATGTTCACTGCAAGCACTGATAACACACTATAACCCGAAACACAAAAAAAGCAAATTCGAAGAAACACCGCTTAGGAGCACACCTGGATGTCATAAATATTTTCTTTTATCTTAATTTGGTTAAAAATTGCCGCTAATACAATAGCTAAACCATAAAACACACACTTGACCGCTATCTAATGAGATAGTGACTAACAATAGGGGTGCCTAATACTTTTGCACGCAGCTGTATTAGTATAGATTGTCATATTTTGGCATTTGATCAGTATATGTTATTTCACCAGCGATCGATGGTTCGACTTTGGGTTGAAATATAAGTTCTAGGTATTGGGCAAATCTTTCAGCTTTTTGCTGGTTACTTTTGGCCCATTTCCCGTCTTCTTCCCTTATGGGTGGAACTTGTGTGATATGTTTATTCATGTTTTTAGTTGCTTTCCACAGGTTATTATCTGATTTAGAGTCTGTGTTTAGCTGTTGTAAGTAATTGTTGGTAACTGAATTGTTGTAATTTAATATTTCTCTTTTCAGGCGTTTGGTGAAATTATTAAGCTCGGTTTTATCATGAGGGCAGCGGGTTAGGTGCCATCTTCTACGCTGTCTTCGTTTTTGTCTTATAAGATCTGTAATATATTCAGGATAAACAGTTTTTCTGACCCACATTGGCTTGTTTGGTGTATTTTGCCAAGCAGCCTGCTGTACATCTACTATAAATTGTCTAACTTCTGAATCTAATTGTTCTGTCGTTTTCAGCGGAACTTTTAATTCTATTCTGTTATCTAGGTCTAATCTAAGACTATCCCAATCTGTGTACTTGTTAACTAAGATTGGTCGTTTCTCATAACGCAGCATTCGTCTACATAATGTTAATAGTATAGGAGAATGATCCGAGTTCATATAGTTAAAGTCTTCTATATTAATCTCATTACTTGGTATGTTTTTGCAGATAAAGAAGTCTATCAAGTCTGGGATTCTGTCTGGATCTGTAGGCCAGTAGGTTGGTTTCCCTGTAGACACAGATTTACAGTGTAACTCTTGTATGGCTTTCAGTAATTGCCCTCCTTTAGTATTATTCAGTCTCGATCCCCAGTAAGTATGCTTGGCGTTAAAATCACCTCCTACTATGAATCTTTGTCCATGTTGCCTTAGAAAACTTACATATTCTTCTTTTGAGGTACTGTATCTAGGTGGACAATATACAGCCGCTATTGTAAGAGGGTAATGTTTACACTCTAGTCGTATTGCCACTGCTTGTATTTCTGGTTGTTCGTACTTGATTTCTTCATAGTGTTGAAGATTTTCTTTTACTATTATTGCACTGCCTCCATGTGCACTGTTTCCTGGGTGTAGTGCATGATAAACTTTATAACTTAGCATAACATTGTTTAGTGAAGTGAGTTTCTGATACAAGACATATATCAATATTTTCGATATTCAGGACTACTTGAAGTTCTTGTTGATGTTTAAGTAGTCCATTAGCATTCCATGCCATAATTTTTAGCGTGTTTTTCATTTTTTATCGGATTTTTAGTGAAGGACTGTTTGGTTCCAATTTCCGGCCTTTGTAACCTGCCATCAAAAGATGACATTAATTTAAATATTTCATCCAACTTTACATCCAGATTGCTATGCGGTTGGTTTATGCTATTGTCACTTTTTGAGTAGTGTGTTTTAGCAGTGACTTGTGCATAGGTTTTCTCTCTCATATCTTGTGTTGATGGGCGTTTCGGTGCCACTTGTTCCAGATTATTCGCTAATGGTTTTTTAATGCTTTTATTTTTTAACTTTTGCATTTCCTTAGCTACTATACATCCTCTGTAATTAGCTGGATGTGCTTCTCCACAATGTACACATTTTGATTTTTCTTCTGCTGGTTTTTTGCAGTCTGGAGTGAGGTATTTTCCTGTACACTTGACGCATCGTGGTTCCTTGGAACAATATTTGGGCGTGTGGCCATATGCTTGACACCTTTTGCACTGTGGTACTAATTTTGATGTTTTGATTGGCTGCACTTCGACTTTACATCCTAAGATAGCCTTTATGCTATATATTTTGCTAATGTCCTCATAGTTTGAAAAGGTTAACATGAACAGATTGAGAGGCTCTTTGTTCTTCCAGCTGAGTTTTTTTGCTGCGCTTATTGTTTTTAGGGAGTTGTTTTGTAGATATTCTACAATTCTCTCGGGTTTGCATGTATAGTGCAGATTTTTGACCATGACTCTAATAGGTCTTTCCTGCTTGTTTTCGTATGAGTGCCATTGATGGCATAACTGATATGAAGAAGTTCTGCAAAGCGGCCGGCATTAGTTTCGACTATAAGAAACTCGTTGAAGGTACGTATATATAATACAAGATAAATATGATAATGACGTATAATGGCTAAAAGACTTGGACCTGTCCAGAACTAATTAACGAGTTAGATAGAGGCCCTCTAAACCTACACCTGGGTCGCAAGTCCCAGGCACTGTTGAAGATCCTCTCCCTGGAATACATTGAACTATTAATTAATTTTATGTTAATATCACAGGATGCACAAAGAACAAGGAGCGTGTGGCTAAGATGTTGGATCTACTGACAGCTGCGGGTCTAGAAGGGAAGGCGACGTTGGAGAAATGTAAAGCGTTGAAATTTAAAGCCAAGCTAGACAAGAGAAAACAAGAGATCCTGGCTAAGAAAGAGGCACGCTCCAAACATAAATAAGAAGACGGTAATAATATATATTATTAATATATATATATATATATATATTTATATTAATAATATGTAATTTGACACGGCGATTTTAATTAATAGTTACAAAATAATGATCTGAAAACATCAGTACAATGAAATTAACTACTCACAGAGTCATATACGTAAAATAGACTCAAAAATAATTAGTAAAACAATATGTGTAGATAAAATACTAGAGCGATTTTTCTATCGCACACTGATTCTATATTTTTTTCGAGATGTTCTTTACTATATATAATAATAATAAAGCCCTGATTACTCCAAGACATAGGTTACAGTTAAAAAAATACATTAAGCTAACAAACAAACAGTAAAGTTAAATATGTCATGGCCCCTTTCGCGTATAGGCGTCCACCAGTTGCCTTTTTATATTGTTACCATTTCTTCTGACTTAACTGCCAGTTCAATAATGTCATATTTAATGTTCTCTAAAGAGTATTGTAGCAGTAGCGTTCTTTGCTATGGTGATAGGTATTTTACATTGTATGTATTAATGTAAAGGTTTTGTTTGTTGGCTTGTTAAAGTGTTATAGTTTAGAGCCGCCACGGTAACTTTAATTGCGATTTCGAGAGGATTATATTCACTTTATATAAATAATCAAAATTCGGGTCAGCCGTTTGAGCGTGAAGAAGTAACAAACATACATACACACTCACAAACTTTCGCAATTGTAATATTAGTAGGATAATTGTATGTTATCGTTCCAGAGGTGGAGAGTGAGTCTTCAGCTCGCCGCATGACGCGAGGCGAGACGGGCGTCAAGCCTAGGCAGCGTATAGTGATATTTTCAGACGAGGAGGACGGAACCCCGGCCGCGTCTGTTCAGTGTAACAGTCAAACGGTACTTATTTCCCGGTTTGATTCCCATTTGTTAAAATATATTTATAAAGTTTACAGTATATATCTGACTTGAACTATATTTGATACTATCAAAGTATAAAATTAATGATATTATGTTGATATAGTCATGTAAATAATTAACTATATATATGTATACATATAAAGTGATTAGGGCGCGGGTTCAAACCTGGCAAGTACCAATGTGATTTTTCGGAGTCACATGTACTTTCTGAGAGTATTTAGACATCACTGACATATGGTGAGGGAAAACATCGTGGGGAAACCTGGACTTATAGTTTCACAATTATAATTTTGAAATCGCCAACCCGTCTTGAGCAAGCGTGGTGATTAATGCTCAAACCTTCTCCATGTGAGAAAGAGGCCTTTGCTCAGAAGTGGGCGCTGATAGGCTGATGACGATGTATATATGATGTTATATATATAGATAACATTATTGTAAAACATTATTAACAAATTACAGTGATTGTATCAGATAGCTCATGAATAGTGTTTATTCCCAGGATATGCCATCAAAGCGTGGTCCAGGACTGCCGAAAGGCTCCAAGAACGCGTCACCCCGCACTCTCGGGAGCGGGAGTGGTCGCCGGGGCAGGCCGCCGGTCCCGCCGGAACTACGCCAGCCTGGCATAACTGATATGAAGAAGTTCTGCAAAGCGGCCGGCATTAGTTTCGACTTTAAGAAACTCGTTTAATTGGCCTCATTTGTGAATAGGCGTCTTCTTGGCGAATTTGAAATTCCCTATTCAGTATATAAGACTCAAGAATGTCAGCAAATGGTCGCGGTAGCATTAATTTGAGCTTGTTTATGAGTCCTTCATGCCAAACTTTATCAAAGGCTTGAGCTACATAGGTGCGCAACTAAGTTTCCGGGTTTTTTTGATCAATAAAAAATATAAAATTTCAAGATACATACAAAAAATGGTTTATTCAAAGTATCTCCCTTCGCTAGCTACACATTTTTGCCATCTCTCTTGCAATACATGGATACCGCGACGATAAAAGGTCTCGTCTTTGGACTGAAACCATTCATCTACCCAATTTTGCACTTCCTCGTAATTACAGCTGCGT